GAGAGAAATGACTCCCAAAAGTCGTCCTCTGACCACCAGAAATGTGCCTTGGCATGCATGTGCACATATACACTAACAAATAAATTTAGTGTATCTATACTTCTAATTGATATTGAACACTCTCTCCTATTTGAAGAGTAGGTAGTGCTCAGGGAAAGCCATCCTGGATGGGGCTGTGGTCTCCTGCCAATTTGGCAAACAACCTCATTCTTAATTTATCTCCTTATTGAGCAGCAATCCAGATGCATTCGCTTGTGACAGAGAGCTTTTTTACTGGGCTTTGCAGACAGGACTTCCCCTATCTGGGACTTAAGGGAAAAGCTCCCTGTCACCATGGTAGAAAAATTAAAAGTACAGCTACCTAAAAAGTAGGATGTAGATAATGGAAAACTCATTTAGTTGATCTTATTCTAACCAAAGAGCTGATCCCTGTGACAGAGGAAGCTGAGGCAGGAGGATCAGTAGTTTGAGGCTAGTCTGACCTACTCTAAGAAACAAAAGACAAAAAAAAAAAAACCACAAAAGGAAGTGAAATCAAACCAGACATGTATCATCCAATTAAATGCACATGTTACTTCCAAGATTCATGAGGTGGCATCTGCCTTATAACTGCAGTGCACTTTCCCACCACTAGATGGCAATCCCATTCTGAAGCAGCTTCATGCAAGCAATAATGACTAGATTCCAAATAGACTGTTTTCAACCTATTAGGTTGGGGAAAAGTCTCATAACTTTTCTGTTAATGAATATGTGAGAAATCAGAAAATATTAGACACGGTCAGATGTGGGTGCAAGCCTTTAATCCCAGCACTCGGGAGGCAGAGGCAGGTGGATTTCTGTGAGTTCAAGGTCAGCCTGGTCTACATTCCGAGTTCCAGGCCACCTGGGGCTACAGAGAGACCCTGTCTCAAACATACCACCCCTCCCCCCCAAAAGAGAAAATCTTAGACACTACAGGTGGGAATTTAAGTCGATAACATCATTGTCCTCATTTGGTCTGGCTGGCATACACTATTCTAAGTGCTTATCTCACTTCCTCACAACTCTTAAGTATTACTATTTTCCCTCAATTTACAAATGAGAAAGTATATCAGTCTAGGTTGGGTAATTTAGCCAAGGTTACAGAGCTAGTAACTGGTAAAGACACATCTACACCCTACTTTTCACTACAGTACACATGCCCATGTAACTGGAAACCATGTACAAAGGTGTTCACTGAAGAACTGTCAGTACTGGCGAAGCACTGATAGTTCATCAATGTAACAATAAATAATGAGGGGATGGTAAAAACAAGGCACAGTATCCAGATGTTGTCAACCTGGATAGACCTCAAAACCCAATTGTTGGAGGGGGCGGTGTAGCTCAGTGGTGGAACACTTATCTAGAATATGCAAGACACTAGTTTCAATTCCCAGCACTGAAAATAAAGGAAGGGGAAAAAAAGTGAAATAAAAGCAACTAAAACTAGACACACAGAAAGCAAAACTTTCTTCATGGAAACCAGTCCATGCAATAGTGTCTATAAGAAGACACTAGAAAGATACACAGCAAACTCATATCCATGTTTGTCCCATTGCTGAGGGAAAGGAGACTGGAGAAACAAACCGGGTGGACACATCTGTGATGTTCTGTTCTATTTCTTTTGCATCCGCCATCAAGCAATCTATCTATTAAGCAGAAAGGAAGAACCTCAAACCCTAACCCAGAATGACATTTTGCATTCAGAGCTGCACAGCTGCATTACTCAAACCTGTAGTTGTTATTGTCAAGACAACACACCAACATTTGCTCAGTCAGGCGCATTGCCCGGAAGAAAGTCTCTCAGTTCCCTTCTGCGTTGCAAAGCTTCTAAGAGGGCAGGCTTCCTAAGGAGGATGTCTCTACTTAACTCTCAGGCCTTGGGGGCCAGAAGGAAGTCAGTTCTTTTACTTAGGGTTGATTAAGAATTTTCTTTAGGTACCAGCTCAAAACAACTTAAGTGTTTCTTTAAAAATAGAAGTTTCCACTATTCCCTTGATTCACTTTTCTGTGGCTCCGTGAGGACAGGGTAAGTCATAATCAAACGTCAGTTGCTCAGGTGGAAAGCTGCAGTGATTAAAACAAATTACCCCCCTCTAGTGCCTCTTAAAGCTGGTAGGCAAATTGGTTACCTAGAAACAATCTTACTACCAACCTTCTTCCTGTGTTTGCCAAGGTCAACACATAAAACTGTAGATCATATGTTGACAAGTTTCTCTATAGATTAATAGGTTCACAGAGATTAATGTTCTCAGATAATTATGCGCTAATGGCTGTAAGGAAGGGGTCAGGCCTGAAGGGCGAGAAAGTTGTAATTTTTGGCTAAAATTAAAATTGTTTTTTAGTGTCAGGATTTTTGTTTGTTTTTGGTTTTCTGTCATATATAATGAATAAGTATGGGTAGAGTTCCATCAGCTTGTTTTTGCAGTGCTGGGGATCCAACTCAGGCCCAGGTGTATGCTTAGGCAAATGCTCTACCACTGAGCTGTTCACCAGCTCTAAATTATACAGGAAAAGGGAAAGTGAGCTTTGTTTTGAAAACTAAAGCCTTCAAAGCTACGTCTTGTATCTCTGTAAGGAGGCCGAGAGGGTTCAGCAGGTAAAGGCACTTGCTACTGAGCCTGACTCCCCAAGTTAAGATTCTTAGAGCTGGGGCTGGAGAGGCTCCACGTTTAATTGTGTATACTGCCCTTGTAGACAACCCGTCAGGCAGCTCACAACCACCCATAACTCCAGTTCTAGGGGATCTGACATCCTCTTCTGGCCTCCTTAGGCACTATACTCAGCTGTGCAAATCCACACTGAGATACACATACACACACACACACGATTACAATCTTTCCAGACTTGGTGGCTCATGCCTTTAATCCCAGCACCAGGAGGCAGAGGCAGGCGGATCTCTGTGAGTTCAAGGCCAGCCTGGTCTGCAGAGTGAGCTCCAGGACAGCTGGGGCTACAGGAAGACCCTGTCTCAAAAAGACCTCAAAAAGACCAAAAAAAAAAGTTTTATCCTCAATTAGAAAACCTCTCCATACTCTGAACCATTTTATTTAATTGGTTTTTAATATATATCATTTAGGACAAAAAGTAGTATCCAAAAAATTAATAACTTTTTTTTGTTTTGTTTTGTTTTTGAGCAGGGTCTCCCTCTAGCCCCAGCTGGCCTGGAACTCACTACGTAGACCAGGCTGGACTTGAACTCAGAGATCTGCCTGCCTCTGCCTCCTGAGTGCCAAAAATATTCTTAATAGTGATTTCTTTCTTCTTTTTCCTCTTCCTCATCATCTTCTAGAATAGAGAAAAGACCTAACTATGTGCCCAGGCTGGCCCTCAGCTTGGTTCAAGTGGTCTCCTTGTCTCACCTTCCCAGTAGCAGGGACTGTATGTGTCATATCATGCCCAATATGTTAACTTTTTAAAATGTACATTTCAGGGATGGAGAGATGGCTCAGCAGTTAAGGGTGCTTCTTATTCTTTCAGAGGATCTGAGTTTGGTTCCCAGCACCCACAGCAGGTAGGTCACAAGTGCATGTAACTCTAGCTCCAGGGAATCTGCTGTCCACTGCACACACTCATACACATAAACAAAAAATAAATCTTTAAAATGTCCATTTCCGGGGCTGGAGAGATGGCTCAGCAGTTAAGAACACTGGTTGTTCTTGCAGAAGACTGGGGTTTGAATCCCAGCACCCACATGGCAGCTAACAACTGTCTGTAACTCCAGTTCCAGGGGTTCCAATGGCCTCTTCTGTCCTTGCGGGCATTGCACGACACGGATGCACTTACCTACATGCAGGCAATACACTCATACACATAAAAATAATAAATAAAATATTCAAAAAAAATGTCCATTTCCTTCTTATGGAAGTGAGACTTCTCCATCCCCTGGCTCAGGATTATGGGGATGTTGTGCAGCTGTTGAGCCCTTAAGGTGCTGAAGAACCCTGCCTGGGGCTGTTTTCACACTCATATCAAACTCAGTATTTTCCCACTCACTCTGCTCAGGATCTTTTTGGGACAGGGTCTCCCTGTAGGTCCAGATGGCCTAGAACTTGCTATGTAGACCAAGCTGGCCTCCATTTCAGATATCTGCCTGCCTCTACCTCTGGAAAGCTGTGATTAAAGGCTTGTGCCACCATACTTGGCTTTATTTGTACAACTTTTGATGGTCTCACTTGATTTTTGACTTTGGAAATTAAAGGCTACCAGAATATATAGTTTCAAAACAACAGTAATAACCAAGAGTACAGAAGTGTAGAACGCATCTCTTGTGATGTTGGTCTGTCAACATGACTGTGTTTAGAAGCACCTAGGAAACACACCTTTGATCTTGTCTGTGAGGCATTTCCAGAGAATAATCAAGAGGGGAAGATTGCCTTCAACATGGCTGGCACCTTCCAATGGGCAGCCCAGATATGAAAGCTCTAAGGTAAAAGCAGTCTGTGTGCCTGCCTGGGCAAGTATGGCTATTGCTGCTGCTGTGTTCCTCTGCTGAGAGCCTCCAGGGAACTTTGAGACCCTCAGTGTTGACAGGACCTGCTGAGGTGTCCAGCCTTTTGGAGTGAGCAGCTATCATGTTTTCTGTCCCTTAGGCACGAAGTCACAGTTGGACACTGGCTGCTCTTCCAGGGGTCCAATTCCAAGCACCCACATAGCGACTAACACTGACTTTAATTTCAGTTCCAGGGGATCCAATCCCCTCTTCTGACCTCTGAGTGCTCTGCATAATATGGGTGCCCTTACATACATGCAGGCAAAACACTCATGCACATAAAATAGAAATAAATTTAAAAAAAAAAATCAAAAAACAAAAGCAAAGTTCAGGGACTGAACATGTAGTTCAGTAGGAGAGCACATGCCCAGCAGATGCAAGGCTGTTCCAGGCCCAGAATTGCAAGATAAACAAACACAAAAGTCTAGACAATTTCCTGGCCCATGAAATTACCCTGTAAATACATATTTAAATAAAAACACTTCATTACTATCTTTTAAAAAAAATTATTTATTTATGTGTATGCCCATATGTAGGTATGCACACCAGAGTACAGATACCTGCAGAGGCCAAAGATGGTGTTCGCTGTTCCCCTGGAGTTGGGAGTCACGGACAATGGTAACTAACATGGGTGCTAGGAACTGAACACAGGTCCTCTGGAAGAGCAATATTCACTTTTAGCTGCTGAACCATCTCTCCAGCCCCATTATCTTTTTATTTCTATGTCTAAAGAAAACTAAACATGATTGTAGAACCTTCAATCTTTTTTTTTGGTCTTTTTGAGACAGGGTCTCCCTGTAGCCTCAGCTGGCCTGGAACACACTATATAGACCAGGCCGGGCTTGATCTCCCAGAGATCTGCCTGCCTCTGCCTCCCAAGTGCTGGGACTAAAGGCATGTGTCACCGTGCCCAGCTAGAACCTACACTTTTAGGCCAGCAGGTATAACTTAAATGCTACCAAACTCATTTCAGAAAACCTTCCGCCAGTACAATAAGGGGAATTTAAGTTTCCCAAACTTAAGGACAACCAATAATTTTTAATATCTATTAATCAAAGAAGAAATTTAATGGATTATATTAGTGTTCCTTTTAGTTGAGAAATTCTACAAGCAGTATTTTCTTTCTCTATATCACAGTCTGTTGACTGACATCAGAAACAGTTACTAAAACCCTGATAATGTTGACTTTCCCATGGGCCTGGCTACTTCTGGAGCTTATCAGGTATGTGAAGGCTACCACCAATGATGTGGGACTGTGCTCCATCTTTCTAGGGAGCTGAGTTTACTCCAGGCTAAATGCTTACGTATGTACTTAATGGTAAGCATTAGCTTCCCCCCCCTAAATGCTGTAATACAGAAGACTCATGTATAAAACAAGTTTTAGGAAGGTGTTGCAATGGCAACACACACTCTGGGAGCTCATGGCCATTCCCTCCTGAGAACCCTAAGGAAATGCTGGGCAAACAAACCTCACTGCCTTCTGATCACATTTCAAAGACTGGGCATCCTGCCAGAGACACAGAAAAAATCTGCAAGGGAGTCCAGGAGTCTGCCAATCCTGAGTGGCCTCTTTTCAAGTAGGTAATAGAGGTAGTACAGTTGGTGTTTCATGAGCTGACTTCTAGCTCTTTTTATCTAGATTTTTCTGGCTTATCAATAGTAATACATCCCAACACATTAATACTTCAATTTGTCTTAATGTAGCACTCAGATTCGGTGGCACCACTACTTTGAGAACACAGTAAACAGCAATATATCTTCCCAAACTGTCAGAAAGTGCTGAACATTCCCAAGTAATGTCCTGCCCCTAATCTGTTTTCTGGATGTCCTGGTTCTTTTCCTTTTCTGTATATTCTTCTAGTCGAAGAAGCCACTTGGCCCAGTACTGGGAACAGAGCTCTGCATCCATGAAATGAGGGTGGGCAGGGGATCCATCTTTGTAGGCCACCACAATTAAGCCACATTGAACCTAGAATGAAACACAGGCAAGCCCAATATTTCTTCTTGCTCCAGGGCAAATCAGCCAGTACTAAGCAGTCTACAGTGTTATCTCCAAATCTGTTTCTAAGGTGGGCTGGTTAAAGCCTGCACCAGGACACAAGAGAACAGAAAGGTGAGAGATAAAACACTTAAGAATGGATTGTGATCATTAAGAATGATTGAAAAAACAAAACAAAACAAAAACAGCACAGGAAGAGACAAAGTGCTTTTTAGGAACCATAGGAATAGTTGGCAATGGTATAAAAATAATGAAAACCAAAGAGTTAAGGAGCTGTAAATAAACACCAAGCAAAGCATAGTAAACAGAAGCCCAATGCTCTGACCTGAAAACCGTAGTTGGAGTCATGGTTCATGGCACCTATGTATGCCACAACTTGCAGTGGATTATCGTATGTGTTTCGGATAAAAGGCTTTGGTTTCTCTGATGTCTTCCAGTCAATCACACACAGCTTGCCCCTAAGGAGAATCCAAAGGAAGGCTTTGTAAGTAACAGTTCAAACTGCAAAACGTGGGCTGGCAAAATAGCTCAGTAGGTGAAGAAAGGCTCCTGCTGCCAAGCCTGATGATTTGAATCCAGTCCCTGAGACCCACATGGTAGGAGAGCTGATTCCCAATGAAGATCTCTGACTGCCACACCAACACTGTGCCTACAAACATAAACACACACAAACACGCACACAGAATAAAATGTAATTAAAAAAGCCCCAACCTCTCAGAATGAGAAACTCCACTAGGTTGACTCTTCTCTTACATATCTGAGAGCTCCAAGTTCAGTGAGAGACCTGTCTCAAAAAATAGGGTAGAGAGTGACAGTGGACACCAACCTTGATCTCTGGTATCCACACAGGCAAGCACATGCACACAAATGCATACAGCCACCCCGCCCCCCATTACTAATAGAGTAGATCTAAAGGTTCTTATCACAAAGAAACAGTAAGCAGGTAAGGTGATGGATACATGAACTAGCTTGATTTAATCTTTTCACAATGTACACAAGTATCAGAACATCATATTGTACCATATAAGCATATACATATACATATATATATATAGACAAAAATTACTTTAAAAATCTTGGTAGCATAGACCCAAGTTAAAATTGCAATAAAACAGTTGTAGATCTTTGATAGAAGTCATTATATAGTTCCTTTGGTTAACTGAAGGGGAAGCCAAAACCAACCTATTAAATTAATTGGCACTCTCAGTGCCAATTTAAATTTATAAGCTCTTAGATGAGGTAGCTATGCCACAAACTGTTAGGTGCTCTAAATATAGTTTCTAGACTAAAGAATAGTCTGTTAATTTGTGTGTTGTTGCAGTTGTTGGAGATCAAATTCTGGGCCTCATGTAAACGAAGCACATATATTATACTACTGAGCTATGGCTCGAGGCCTGTCAATTTTTTAAAAACTTACTATTTAACTAGAGCTCCAAAGGTCTCACACCCCCATTTCCACATCCTGTTGTTGCTCACAGGCTTCATTTGGAATAGGGGATCTGCAGATGGCAGCTACCCTTGGAATGGGGAAAACTGGAAAAAGTGTAACACTGCAGCACTTTTTAAACGGTAGGAAGCTTTGGTGTGTTTATAGTCCTTATCCTATCAGCCACTGCCTGGATGCCAGGAAGAGCTGATTTCCAGGGCCAAGAGATCACAGTGTAACCTTTGGGAAAACAGGAAAAAAAGGGGGGCGGGGGAGACCAAAAGAAAAAAAAAAATGAGTAAAAAGGAAAACAAAAAAGAAAATGCAGGAATCGAACGGGCTCTTACAGCAGTACTTTTCTTATGGGAGGGGAAGAGGGACAGGGTGGAAGGAAGATGAGCCATGCTCGGGATATTGAAAAAATAGCTTTTCTGCACCAGACTGATCCTGATATTGGCAGTTTGTGGCTCTTCCTGTCATCCCCCCCTTCTTCTTCCCTCCCAGTTCTTCTGCCTAAACCTTGGTTTGACTTTAAAGAGGCCAAGGCCACTATACCTACATCAAGAAGCAGGCGTTAAGCGGGAAAAAAACAAACCAGAAGACAGGAATCATCTGTCCCACTTGACATTAGTCCACCTCACCAGTGAGATGGAAACAGCCTTGTACTTACTGGTATTCAGCCACACAGTCCAGCAGCCCTACATACTTCAAAGTCTCATGCTGAACAGCACTTTCAAGTGCTTGCACACCACTGATATCTTTCAAAATATGCTGGACACTTTCAATGTAGCCACATTTGAGGAGATGCTCATCTCTCTCTTTTAAGTTCCCCTGGTGTGAAAGTATGCTTTCCAAGGCTTCATGGAACTGTTTCCCTTGTAAAAAGATGTCTGAAAAGAAAATCAAGGGAAAAGGAAAAATAAACTCCAAGTCAAACAAAACCAGAGAGTTCTAAAAACTAGATGCACAAAAGAAAGGAAAAAAAATCCAAAGTACACAAAAGTTATCTATAAACGTCAACCCCTTAGATAACAAATTTCATCCTTTTTGTTTTATTTTTGGAGGCAGGGTCTTGTACATAGCCTAGGCTAGCCTTGAACTCAGATCCTCCTACATCAGTCTCATGTGTTGGGATTAAAGGCATTTAACCATTATGTCCAGCAAAACTCAGCTTCTTGTGAAACCTAAGAATGTATTTTGAAAAACCAAATGGATTAAAATAGTTATAAATGAAATATATTAAAATGTAGTTAGCAATAGGCCAAAACTAGAATTAAAGACCTGGGGCTACAAAACACCTAGTTTATGTGCATTAAAGCATCCAATTTAAGAGGTTAAGTGGTTGAAATAAAAACTGTCAAAAATTCAGGGAAATGTGTTTTTGTTTGGCTTTTTTTTTTTTTTTTTTTGAGATAGGGTCTTGCTATGTAGCTCAGGCTGACCTCGAACTCACAATTTTCTTGTCTTAGTCTCTAGAGCACTGGGATTACAGATACATGCCGACATGCTCGGCAACTTAATTATGAATATGATTAAAAGGAGAGAATTCTTTGACTAACAGGATTAGTGACTGGTCAGGAATGAAAATCAAGGTATAGCTAAATGGAAAAAATAATTGATGTTGTGAGGTTGTACTTCTTTTTTTAGGGGGGTGTTTTTGAGACAGGGTCTCTCTGCAACCCCAGCTGGCCTGGAACTTGCTATGTAGACCAAACTGACCTTGAATTCACAGAGATCCACCTGCCTTTGCCTCCCAGTGCTGGGATTAAAGGAGTGTGCCATCATACCCAGCAAGGTTGTACAACTTTTTAGTGCTAAATCAACTTGAGACAGTTGCTGTGTCCAGAATCTTTCCCCTTATATTCCTTTGTGTGTGGTATATACATGTGTACATGTTCAAGTGTGCACATGTATGGATACACACATATACACATGCGAAGACTGGAGGTCAGCATCAGGTGTCTTCCTCTATCACTCGCTACCTTATTTATTTTTCATTCCAATTTCTTTCAAAATCAGTTGAACTTTTAAAAGTAATTTATTCTTAGCTGGGTGTGGTGGTGATTGCTTTTAATCCCAGCACTCAGGAGGCAGAGGCCTGGTCTACACAGTGAGTTTCAGGCCAGCTAGGGCTATAGGAAGACCCTGTCTCAAAAAGACTAAAAAAAAAAAAATTAATTTATTCTTTTGACAATCTCACCTATGTAGAGAATTCTGATTACTCTCGCCCCTCAAACTCTTTTGTCTTCCACCTTTGCCAATTCCTCTCCTCCATTTCCCACATTCATGTTTTTTTTTGTTCTGTGACCCACTGAGTTTAAGCTGTATGTGTGGATCCTCCTTATATTTTGAGACAGGGTACCTCACCAACTTGGTTAGGATGGCTGGCCAGGGAGCTCCAGGAACCTTTCTGTCTCTACCTCTCCAGGGCTGGGATTACAGGTGTGCACCACTATGCTCAATTTTATGTGAGTGCTGCGGATTGCACAGCAGGCATTTAACTAAGCCATCTCTTCAAACTTTTTTTTTTACAAGATTTCATTTTTATTTTAATGAAAGGTATATGTGTGTAAAGGCCTGGAGAGATGGTTCAGTGATTAAGAGCACTGGCTGCTCTTGCAGAGGACCCAGGTTTGGTTCCCAGCATTTCCAGGGTGGCTGACAACCATCCATTACTCCAGTTCCAGGGGAATCTGATGCCTCTCTTCTGACCTCTGTAGGTATTGCATGACACAGGTGCACCTAATATATGCAGGCAATACACTCATACACATTAAAAAAAAAGGTTAGAGCTAAAGAGAAGACTCAGTGGTTAAGAGCACTGGCTGCTCTTGCAGAGGACCCGGATTCAATTCCCAGCACACACATGGCAGCTAGCAACCATTTGTAACTCCAGTTCCAGGGGATGTGACACCCTCTTTGACCTCTGCAGGTATTACAAGACATGGGTGCACCTACACATATGTAGGCAATACACTCATACACATAAAAACAAAAATTAAAAATGGATAGACAGAGAAAAAGGAAAAGACACTTTTCTGGGTAATTCAGAAAAGCATGCAGATTTACAAAGCTGCCAGACTCTAGTTCAAGCTACTACACTAGGGGGCAGGAATTCTGGGCAAAAAAAAAAACAAAACTCACATTATCTCATCAAAGGGATAATTGTTCCTTCTATCTTTTTAGCATGGCTGAAGGTGAACTCACCTTCCTGTGGCTTGGTCCCTAAACCAGGAGCCTCACAGGCCCAACTGTTTTAACTTTTTTCTTAAAGACAGGGTCTCTGTAGCCCTGGCTGACCTAGAACCTGCCTCTGCCTCCCCAGTGTTGGGATTAAAGATGTTGCCACCAACCCTACTCCAATTGGATAACGGCATGTCCCACTTTTTTTTTTTTTTTTTTTTTTTTTTTGGTCTTTTGGAGACAGGGATTCCCTGTAGCCCTAGCTGGCTTGGAACTCACTATGTCGACCAGGCTGGACTTGAATGCACAGAGATCCACTTGCTTCTGCCTCCTGAGTGCTGGGATTAAAGTCTTCACATTCTTTAGGCTAGCGGGCAACAGCTTTCCCTCAATGGGCCTTCAATGCTACTGTATCATTTACACTTTTTTTTTCCCTTCCGGAGTTGAGGACCAAACCCAGGGCCTTGCGCTTGCTAGGCTCTACCACTAAGCTAAATCCCCAACCCCCATTTATGCTCTTTTAAGTTAAGAAAAGGTAACACAAATTTATTTAATAAAGACAAGAAATACTATAGATTCACTTGATTATTGGTCAGGAAAGGAGAGAAAGAGGGGCACTGTTAGGGTAAGCAGGGATCTCGGTGCTTTCAAAACATTAATTTTCAAACACCTCAGCAAGATAAGTATCATAACTCTGATCTTAGTGAATGGGGCCCTGCTGGTCTGAGCAGTGCTGTTAATCTGCCCAAAACAAAAAGCTGGACCAGCACACACCCTGGCACCAGAGCCTCTTCTTTCTAGTCCATCAGTCAGCACAGCAAGGGTGTTAAAACTCAGAGAGCACTGTTTAAATACACATAGGAACAGAGGAAGAAATCCACATGCTTAGAGATAAGATCCATGGAAAAGGAGGAAAACAATCTCATCCAAACAAGGTAGTGATAAGCCACGTTATGTTTGTCAGATTTTCACAAAGACTTTGAAAGTTCAGTTCTACCATTAGGGGAAAATGAAATTGCTTCTGGGAAATTACTTGGAGAGTTAAATGGAATTCAATTTATGAGATAAATTATTTTACTTCATATACTTGGCTCAATTGAGATTATTTGCATGTGGACAGCCTTCAAGAAATTTAAGACTGACGGAATTAAAACTTAAAGAGATGCAGAGTTAGTGTACAGTCTACTTAACGAATCAAAAGACAAACTTGTTAAAAACAAGAGGGGGTAGGTAACTAAGAGGTAGAGGACCTGTCTAGCATGCACCAGGCCCTAGGTTTTTTTTTTTGGTCTTTTTGAGACAGGGTCTCCCTGTAGCCCAGCTGGCCTGGAACTCACTATGTAGACCAGGCTATCCTTGAACTCACAGAGATCCATCTGCCTCTGCCTCCCCAGGGCTGGGACTACAGGGGTGTACCACGACACCTGGCACCAGGCCCTAGGTTTAGTCCCTAGCACTGCCAAATGAAAAAAACAAATGACTTTCTCTACTTCTTAGACAATTCATTCCCAGCTACAGACCTAACTCCTGGCCAGATTCCTCACATATCTAAGACCATGACCATGGAAAGCTCGATTTCAGGACCCAATGAATCTTAGAAAACACTAAACACGATTCAACTCATAAAACTTAAAAACATTAAAAAATAGAGTAGCTTGGCATGGCAGGTACCTGTGATCCCTGCATTAAGAGGAGGTGGGCAGATCCCAAGTTCAAGGCCAGTTTCCTTTTTCTTCCACTGTACTAAAATGTATGTGATCACCTCATTTTGAGAGTGGATTTACTTATTAAGGTTGATACTGAGTTAAATGAGAAAAACAGCAGAGCCTTAATTCAGCTAAAACTGACTATGAAACTGTCTGCCTGGGTAAGGGGGCCCATTCAATTCCAGTTTCTCTCCTTTATCAAGTTGGCCACGTTCTTACTCTGGGTGGAGAGATATAAGGCCTTCCTAGGCACCCACATGCCCCAGCAGCTTTCTGCCTTCATATTTCTTATTTTTGTTTCTGATTTTAGACAGGGTCTCCCTGTAACCCCAGCTTGCCTGGAACTTGCTAGACAGACCAGAATGGCATTGATTTCAGAGATCTGTCTGCCTCTGCTTCCTGAGTGCTGGGATTAAACGTATGTGCCACCACACTCAACTGCCTTTTTTTAAAAAAAAATTTTACTTATATTTCTTATCAATAATTCAGGTTTCTTGACAAATGAAACATTTCTGGTTTAAGGAAAATCAAAACAATTCCTGATGAGGAAACTATAAATTCTAAATTCTAGTGGCACAAATAAAAAGGATATCATTAAAAGATTTCTACACTGCTTGTTTAGAAAGCAGAGAACATTAAGTGGTTCTCATCAGGCATCCCAAGAAGGCACCCACGGCATATGGTCCTTGCCACACACATCTCAAGAATGTTATAAGTGAAAGCACTGGCCATTTTTGCCATATCCAGGTACAACTTGCACAATTATATGCTTACTTTTTTTTTTCTAAGATGCCTGGGAATAAGTGTATTAATCTTAAAGTAAAAGTGCTCATACAGGGACTGGAGAGATGGCTCAGCAGTTACAAGCACTTCCTGCTCTTCCAGAGGACCACTGCTCAGTTCCCAGCACTCCTATCAGGCGGCTCACAACTGTCTATAACTCCAGCTCCAAGGAATCTGAACCCTTTTCTGGCCTTCATGGGCACACACACATACACACACACACACAGCATATACTCACACATAACATATACACACATTAAAAAAAACAGTGTTCATATGTCACTAGGGGTACAATATGCTCTTGGGGAAACACAGGCTTAGAATATATCAGTTTTAATAAAAACCACCTATATAATTCTTATGGGACCACTTCATTCTCCTATATTGTGTTCTTATATAGCTTATACAGGCCTGGAATTTGTGATCCTCCTACTCAGCCTCCTGAGTGCAGGGATTATAGGTGTGTACCACCAAACCTGACTCAAAGGTTTATTTTTGAACAATCTGCATTAAGGAAGCTATTCTCACTTGTTTTAATAGGTCAGGAATTGAAGGCTAAGGTTTATTTACTCAGTTCCTAATCAAAAATACTAGATCGGTTCAACTTATCAAAATGTAAATAGGGATCATAAGTTCTGGTTTGTTATTACGGTACTTACTAGATTCTGAGCAAAAACATTATTAAAGAGACTACTGTTAAGAGGCTTTTCCTTAATGATGGAAAATAACTCTGATGGTTTGTAGCTTATAAATTAAATGAATTTTATGAATCAGTTATCCAAATTACTTCCATTTCATCTGTGTTCTGAAGTGAATAGTATTTAAGCTTCCTGGGACCATCATGAGGGTTGAGTTAATAGGCATAAAATGCTATTTGGAAGTAGTTCCTCACTAAGGTTTTTTTTTTAAGCCTCATTCTTTTGACACTAATGCTCTATATTCTAAAAACCATAGTGACCATACATAAACCAGAATTAAGAGAATTACTTGAAGTATATTCTGCAAATCCCTGTTCTCCCAGCTCCTGCATCATCCGCTGTTTCCACCTGTCCAAAAAGAAAATCTGTTCTGTTGTCATGGTCTGCTGAAGGATCTGTGTCACACTTGGTATCGAATGTCTTTGCAAAGGGATTTTCAAAGGACTCGAAGTAACACTTGCATTTGGCTTCACACTTCTCTGTGGATTGAAGATGGGAAACCAGTTTCGTGCAACTCTTATCTCCTCTGGCTCTGGAGGCTTCTGCTTACTCACAGGTCCATAGAGTAAATCATCTTCTTTGAACAATGATTCTGGGGTCTGGGCTGGGCCTCTGGATGACAGGACAGACCTTACTAAACGAGAGTACTTGGCCTGATCTGCTTCTTCATAAGGATTTTTTTTCTTCTGGCCACATGAATAAGAGGAAGTAGAGAAACCCACAAGGGTTCTTGGCTTTACATAAAACCCTTTTAAACTTCTGAGAAGCCTGCAGGTGGTCCGAAATGCCTTCATGTTTAGATTTTTTTCCCTCCACATGTTGAAGACCATTTTTTACAAAAAATTTGTATTCCTATTAAAAAAAATGATGTTAAGATATAAGATGTTTTATATACTTGAACCACCAAAGTGAAAAATCACATCAGAATACTGTATTAAGTTTTTTGATGTTTGGAGAAAACCAGTTCCCAAAGACTCATCAAAATCAAAAGGGCCATGGACTGGAGATGACTCAGTAGTTAAGAATGCTTGCAGAGTACCTGGGTTTAGTTCTCAGCACCCACATCAGGTTACTCACAACCACCTGTAACTCCAGTTCTAGGGGATCCATTGCCCTCTCTGGGCCTCTGAGGACACTTATTCATAGGTGTGCAGAAATACACAAAGACACACACAAATAAATAATTTTTAAAAAAATCAGAAGGAGCTGGGCATGGTGGTGCACACCTTTTATCCCAGCTCTTGGCAGAGGCAGGGGGATCTCTGTGAATCTGTTCTAGAGACCTAGTTCCAGTCCAGACAGTGCTACAGTCTCAAAAACCAACAACAAAATCAGAAGGGCCAGCACTTGCTAAATGTCAACTGTAGACAGTTTGGTGAGAAACCCACCTAACCTTTAATCTGAAGAAATGTGACCAGGCCTGGTTGGCACAGGCCAGGAATTCCAGCACTCAGGAGACTGTGGCCAGATTGCAAGTTTGAGGTCAGTTTGACTCTAAAACAAACACGTCATAGCTAACAGATAAACACCAACAGCGACATACTAAACTCTTCGCTACTCAGTTTTTGATCTAATCCTCACTCTTAATAGCACTCCTTTTAGAGGCGTGCTGTTAAGACCCATTGTACAGATTTGGAACTGGAGCCCCATTTGTCTCAGGTGGGTTGCAGGGCCCGGAGCGCGACCTTCCCTGCAGGTGTGGACCCCCGGGGACAGGACGGCTGTAGCTCCTCGTGCGCGAAAGTGAACGCTAAAGAGATGATTTAAATAGTCGCCCAGCCTACTGCAGGGGTCAACCTGTACCTTAGACGCCTGGTACCCAAAGCACGAACAGCCTCTGAGGACCCGTACTTTCATCAGTCCCGCTCTAGCAAAGGAGCCGGCCCCAGCATGCACTGCTGCCCTCATTCCCCAACCCCTAGCCTCCAGTTGTCTGTCCCTCCCGTCAGGCAGAAGCGCGCGCCCCAAGTCTCGCGTTTTCACTATCACGAGATCTGGTGTACGTCACCACTCGTCGCCATCTTGGGCTCGGGCTGAGCAATAAATTCCGCCCGCACTAGCGCGCGCGCTCTTTCTCGAGGCCCAGTGTCCAGTTCTCGCGTCCCCACCTCGCGTCCCCGTCGCGGCCCTGCAGTGTTGGTGTCCGCGTGGCGCGGAGCGAGGGTAGGCCCCACGTTGCTTCTTTGCCCGGCTCCAAGATGGACGGCCGTGGGACGGGGGAGGCCTCTGTGGGGGAGCACGTGGTGTGCCGCTGGCCTGCGCCCGGGGCTGCTGGGATGGTGGCGGAGTCCCGCGGCCTCCTGCCGCCGTCGGGCAGGGAGGCCGGCGGAGGCGGGGCCGCGGCCGCCCCTGAAAGGCTCCACGGCGGCCGCCCAGCCTCTTCTTTCCTCGCACAGCCAGGCGGCCCCTACTCGAGGCCGGAGTCGCCATGGCCGCGGTTCCCGAGTTGCTGCAGCAGCAGGAGGAGGACCGCAGCAAGGTGAGGGCCGTTCTTCCTAGCCACCTAGGACGAGGCCCGGGGTCTGCTAGTCGTGGCGGGCCCCGCGAAGCGCGCGGGAGACCCGGGGCAGGGTCCCTGCACACACCACCCCCCCACCGAGGACGACCCCACAGGCCCCTAATGGCGAGCTGACCGACGGTCCACTAGCCGTTTGACGCTAGACGCTCGACACCCCACGATGTGTGTTTAAGGGTTCTTAAAACTTGAGACCTTGGTAGTTGGGAAATGAACGTGAAGTCTATTGGCCACCCCCATCCCTTTTTAAGAAAACGGCCTTTTCGTTTAAAGAACGGGAAATTCGGCCGAGAACTCTAAAGAGTTTCTTGCAACTTAAGAAAAGCTGAACTCGTCCCTGTGGGAGTTGGGTGATTTTTATTTAGTATGTGCTTAAATACATGGTTTGACCTTTTTTGTTCTAAATCTTGGGTGTTTATGTAAGCCCCGGGCTGCGAATATCTGGCTGTCTAGAAGATAACTGATGCAATAAACGGAGGTTACTATAGCCAATTAAAAATTGAGTCCCTACTCTTACCGGTCCTTTAAACTTGAGTCTTTAGTTTTTCATTGCACCAGAAGGTACCAATCCTATGTGCAGAGCCGTCAATATAGTTTTTCTAACAATGTATTTAAAAGAAATTTAAATTTCTTAGACGCTAAGTATAAGAGGAGCTAGTTAACCTAGCTTTTTAAAAAGTACTTTTGAATAGAGAAACTTTTATCTAGTAAGTAAATGGCCGGTCTAGGGCACCAAACGATTGGAGTGTTCTAACAAGGGTTTTATTGTATTAAAATAGGGTTTTGTACGTGGGAGTGTGGAGTTATTTGAAAGGTTAAAAAGGTTCTTTACAAAAGAATTAGAGTTCTAGAGTTACTTTTCTCTCTGCTAGAATGTTAACAGGTACGGAGTGGAATTTTGATGGCTGTTGTTCTCTGGTACCTGCTTCCTTGTAACTTGGAGCAGAATCAGCTATATAAAAGGACTTGGTCATTTCTACTTACCTCATGAGTTACAAAAGATCTTTGAAACTACTTCATGATTATCCAGCAAAATTGAAGGAGTTGATGAAGGATATTAAGCAGCCTCCGGGCTTTAGTAGATAGAATCACTTTGTCTCTATCTACGGTGAAGAACTTTACATAGCTTTAGTTTCCTTTTTAAATTAAGGATATACTGAAAGACATTTGCTCTAGCACTTGGCTTCAAACCTGATGTGCCACCTGCTGTGATGGTGGAACAGTTACCCAAGGGAATTTGTCACAAGTATGAGATGGAACGGGAATCCCAAGTATTTAGCAAACTTGTGCATTTAAGACGTTTTACATTTTTACTTGAAGGCTCTGAAATGCGAATGAAACTTGTCCTTTGCTTGCCTTAGTACTTGAAAGGACTAAATGAGGACCATTTCCCTGGTGCGTTTTTTTTTTTTTTTTCCTTTTTTTGATTTTTTTGAGAGAGGGTGTCCTTGTAGCCCCAGCTGTCCTGGAGCCCATAACTATGTAAACCAGGCTGGCCTTGAATTCAGAGATCCGCCTCCCGAGTGCTGGGATCTGCTCTCTTGATGCCATTTTTAACTAGAAAGTCTTTCTTGTTAAATAATTTGAGGGCTGGGAATATAGCTTGATGCTAAAATGCTTGCCTGATATGACCAAGGCCCTGAATTTAATCCCTGGCACCAATAATTGACTAACTTTCACTAGATGGTTATGTGGACTTTTCAGTGGATGACTTCTGTCCTCAGGCCTAGTCATTGATGTGTAGAAACTTAATGCTGTTGCTATGGTTGGCAGAGAATCTGCTTCAATAGGATGTAGTGGGTACACTGCAGTTTTTAGTGTAGTGGCCAGTCCTGGACTTTGACCAGTACTATAGCAAATCCAGGTTTACAAATTTTTTGTGGGCTGAAGTCTTGCACCAGAATTATATGATGCTTAACTAGGAACTTGGCTTATCAAAGCTGCCTGCCCACGCCTTTGTGTTCTGGATCAGTAACCTGCACACAGTGTCTTAGGGCCTCAATCATTTGTGAATATTCAGGTTATGGTATGTTCACTTTTTTTTTTGGCTGCAGGATGTAGGTGGCCAGCTATTAGATTTTCTATATTTTACCTAAAGATGCTCTAAATGCTATTTGGTGAGACCTAGTAAGGGACTAACATCTAATCTAGAGCCTTAATGTTAAGTCAGACTTCCTCAAACTGAACACTGGAGACATTTACATAGTAGGCTTCTAACAGTCTCATCCTAGGTGATGGTAGCCACCACCCCAGTATCATATTCATAGACATTGTCAGATGTCCTTTCATGCTGAGCATGCTTGCCCAGGGTTGAGACAAACATTCTAAAATATGACATGGATGGGGTGACATTGTGTTAACAGAAACTATTCTTAGTCTGCCAATTGATTGCAATTTTTTTTCAGGTTTATGATAAGTAGGCTGTAAAAGGAAGATGCCACATTAATCTTGAATTGTTGAGTATCTTTGAAAGTAGCTTTCCCCCTTAGTAGTGTGGGGACCTTTAATCAAAAGGTGGTAGAGGATGAGTTTCTTTTGGTTTTGTTCATTTAGCTATACACAGTTCAGCTGTGTTACTCTGAGGTCTGTGCTAGGTTTGGACTTTTGGAAAAATATAGCACGCAAAGCACTGTGGGCCAGAAATGGGTAGCTGATTAGGCATAACACTGCTGCAGAGTGGCTGTTTGTGCTTGCAGGCCTAGCCCAGGCTCAGAAAACTTCAGACATTTTTGGGTCAACCTAGTAGCAAGACCCTGTCTAAAAAAATGTTGCTGTATAAACATTTTGCTGTATCTATTATTAGGGCCTGTTACCTGCAGATTTAAATGAGAACAGTTCTATAGGTTAGAAACTTGAAACTGGCTCAGATAGTCAGTGGTCAAAGTACACAGTGAAATTAGATAGTGGTCCTGTGATTCTCAGTTTTTGAGAAAAACTGTTTCAGAAGTTAAGGGTTCTGATTTTTGTTATTGTTCTTTAGTAACTAGAAAGGGAGCTGCAGGCAGGACAGAACCTTGTGTGGTAAACTTATTTAATATAGAGAGGTTTCTCTGCATGATCTAACTTTCCAAAAAAGTTACTGTTCTTCACCAACACCTATTTTTACTTTTTGTTTTTTGGGAGTCTCACTATGTAGCAGTATATGGCCTGGAACTGCCTATGTGTTGAGCTGAGATTCATATACCTCCTTTTGCCTCCTGAGTGTTGGGATTAAAGGCATACTCCACCACCCTGGCTTTTCAAGTTTTTTTTTTGTTGTTGTTGTTGTTTTGGAGATGATCTCTCTGTAGCCCCAATGTTCTAAACCCATAGTGTAGACCAGGCTGACCTTGATCTCATGGAGATCAAGGAAAGGCCTGTCTCTGCCTCCCGAGTGCTGGGGTTATACTCTGGTTTCTCTTCAAATTTTATATATCTTTCCCCTTTTACTGACTTTTTAATTTTGTGTGTGGAGGTCGGAGGACAACTAGTGAAGGCTTAGTGTCTTCTCACAGGCCTCAGTGCCTGTTTTCTGGTTAGCCATTGGAGGATTTCTCTTCTGAAAGAGGGAAATGGAGTCTTTGGATTTATATGAAAATGGTTCAGATTATCTAATAGGCCTACTTGATGTGAATTACTGCAATGGTTCAACATTTGCTTGTACTGGGCTTGCAACCTTGTGAAATGATGATTCAGTTTATCCATTCGCTGAGTAGGCTGCACTGACCTCCTTCCAGGCCTCAGTTCCTGTTCTAGGAACCTGGGGCTGTGTAGCCTCCAAGTGCCCTGCAGTCTGCAGTGTTCTACTGTGGATTGCTGGTGTGTTGGTAGGCTACTGGTAAGACTGGTTGGTGTCAGCAGGGATGGAGCCCTCTGGGTTCCATCCCACTAAGATGAGTGGTGCAAATCTGATCACTCCCTGCAGCCCTTCTAGTTTCTTTAAAAATAAAATATTTGCTGGGTGTGGTGGCACATGCCTTTAATCCCAGCACTTGGGAGGCAGAGGCAGGCAGATCTCTGAGTTCGAGGCCAGCCTGGTCTACATAGCGAGTTCCAGGTCAGCTGGGGCTACAGGGGAGACCCTGTCTCAAAAAGACAAAAAAAAAATTATAATTAGATAAAATTATTTTTCACATATATTTGTTGTGGAGGTCAGAGGACAGCGGAGGGGGGGAAGGGTTGGTTCTCTGGGTTCTGGGGATTGAACCCGGGTTGTCAGGCTTGGTGGCAAGTTCTTTACCTGTTGAGCCTATTCTAAGTAATTTGATGGTTATTTTAAGTTTGTTAGTCTGAAATCTTCAGAAGTCTTAGTTGTGCTATGTAGGAGGACATAGTCTGATTGCAGGCCATATTGTAGGAAGAGGAGACTCAACAGAAGAGGGAGCTGAGAGCAAAAGCCCTTTAAAGGGAGAAGTTAATATAGTGCCTATAGGTGCTTCTGTTGCTTTTTGTGTAACACTACTACAGAAGTTGGCAGAGAATACCAATACATAGTTAATCTTCAGGATAGGAATAAGCAGTATCAGGACCAGTACATACTTTGAGGGGATTTTGGAATACTAGCACAAGTAAGAGTTTTTCAAGATGATTCTTTTCTAAGTATATGTGTTTCAGATCATTTGTGGAAGTTAATGCACATCTAGAGTATTTGTGGCAAAGTGGCTTTTTACTTATCTTACTCCCTATGAAAAAAGTAGACATTTGACCCAGGGGGCTGACCAGCTTCTTGCTGAGTGGAAAGACCTTGGGTGACTTGGTATGTTGGCACTCTCCATGGCAGATGTTGGTTCCTTAGCCACCACAGAATAACAGAAGGACAGGCACTGATAGCAGGTGCTGGGTTAAGTGTATTTTTTTTTCTTCTTTAAGAATGGGAAGTAGTCTTTCTGTTTAGTAATATTTTTGTAATGGTCAAATAAAAATGGAAATACAGCTTCTTAACATTGTCGCAAGACTGGCTAGATTAGCAGTTTTTTGACCAGCCCTCATTCCAGCAGATCAGTTACTATGGGTTTTCTTCAGTAGTCCGTGTCTTATCCTCTTGGCTGTAGTCTAAAGCAGAGCCAGCAACCTGACACCTGCCAGGTTTTATTTTGCTTCCCCTGTAGTCTGAATTTTGAATTTTAGAAATCTTGTTTAATACCTTTTAGCTCTGTGGACCTGGCTGGCCTCAAATTCTGGTCTTTTGCCATAGCCTTCCAGGGGCTGAGCGTTTAGGCCACAGAGTCTTCCATACCTAAAAAGTAGTCCAGACTTTGCTTTATTAAGGAGCAGTGCTGCTTTATTCCTTGTTCCTACTGATGGGATGGTGGTTATATTTCCTAAAAAATTGGTGTGGCAGGGAGAAGTACATGGGAGCAAAAATTAAAATGGAAATCTCGAGTCAAATTTTAAAATTTAAATTCCATTGAATGAGAGTAGGTTTTAGTTTAAGGGATAGAGGTATAACTGCTAAAAATCTAGCTTACTACCTAAGGATGAACTTAGTTCTGAAACTTACTTTTCTTTGATGGTTTATTTCTTGGTGGTTGACTTAGGTTTTTGGCCATATTTGGGATTGAGCTAGTTTTGTTTTTTTTTGAGACAGGGTCTCCCCTGTATGTAGTGTCCCACCCAATTGGCCTGTAGACCAAGCTAGCCTTCAGAGACCTGCCTCTGTCTCTCCAGTGCTCCACTACGTCCACCTAGTTTTTTCTTTCCTTGTGTGGGGGGGGTGCTGCTCTTTTTGAGACAGGGTCTCCCTGTAACCCTGGCTGGCATGGAACTCACTGTAGACCAGGCTGGCCTAGAACTCACAGATCATCCAGCCTAGTTTTTTTTTTTGGTGTTTTTGAGACAGGGTCTAATTATTTTTAATTTATGTGTATGCATGTGTTGTCTGAATGTAGGTAAGTGCACCCGTGTTGCGCAATGCCCACGGAGGACGGAAGAGGGTGTCAGATCCCCTGGAACTGGAGCTATGGACAGTTGTTAGCTGCCATGTGGGTGCTGGGATTCTGCAAGAACAGCCAATAGCCAATGTTAACCGCTGAGCCATCTTTCCAGGCTCCCCCTCCCCTTTTTTTTTTTTCTTAAATGACAGGGTCTCACTGTACAGCCTTAAAGCCTCCTGTGTCCTGGTGTTAAAAGTATGTGCCACCACATCCAAGGCGTGTTACCATTTGGCCCAAATTAGGTTCATGATTGCCCGGTAGGGCTAAGTGATAACCAGTACTCTGGTCCTTCAAGATTCAGGGAAGGGGACTGGAGAGATGACTCAGCTGTAAATAATAAAGTAAATATAAATACATATATATATATATTTTTTTTTTTTTCTTTTTTGGTCTTTTTGAGACACGGTCTCCCTGTAGCCCCAGCTGTCTTAGAACTCACTATGTAGACCAGGCTGGCCTTGAACTCACAGAGATCCGCCTGCCTCTGCTTCCCAAGTGCTGGGACTAAAGGTGTGTGCCACCACCACATCTGGCTTGGTAAAGTAAATCTTTTTTAAGAGATTCAGGGAGGTTGGTGGATGAGAGGAAGATTTAGTAAGTGCTGTGACTTGGCCCACAGGGTATTTGTTGGCTAAGCCTAAGGAGAAATGCTGAAGTTTTATGTAATCCTGCTTGGTGTTTCTGGTGAGGATACAAATGCTGACTTGCAAGTTTTAAGCATTGCAAAACTTTTTATTCCTGATAGTGTGAGCTTCATCTGGGGGTTTCTGTGTTTGGAAATTTTGTTTCCATCCTTGAAAAGGTGGTTTGACTAGGTCAGATGGCTGCTGGAAAACCATATCCTGCTGTAGTTGCGATTTTTGAGACCTAAGGTGGGGTTTTTGGTTTGCTTTTTTCTGTTCTTTGTGTTAGCATCCTTAAATACCTCCCCTCAACAATCATACTAACTAGAAAGGAGGACATCCCAATACCTTCATGGTGTCACTGTGAAGAGACACAAAACGGGAAGTTACTCATTGCCTTACTGAATTGGCTTGGCATGTGTGAGCAAAAGAATTGTCAGCATGTTAACTTGAGATGCTAGAAACCAAGGTTTGTGGCTTCTTAAGGAAATTAGGAAATGAAGCATGACATTGTTGCTGAGTTCCAGAAATTGCACTCTAGAGATCTGCCCCAGGCTCCACATCTCTACCAGTGTCATTTCTATAACCTGGCAGCTTTTTTGGCTGTGTTCCCATACTAGGAGCTCACCTGACCCTGACAGAATCATGGCTAGAATGACCAGTTTTCCTCTGCATTCTCATTGCAGTTCAATTTATATGTTTGAGAATCTTTGAAGGCTGCATCTGTTTAGTGATGACTTAACCAGGAGGAAGAATCCTTTAATCAAATTTGCCAAAACTAGACAATTGTAAATTATCCCTTGGCCTTTAAGTTTTCAGATGTGGCCAGTGTCTTGAAACACAATCTAGTAATAGAAAAGTTTCATGTTTTAAGTAAGTTTATGGCTTGTATTGGGCCATATTCATAGCAGTCCTGGGATACCTGTTGCTGGGTCATTTGCAGAGATCTCAGGTGGACATGTGAAAAACTGAACAACACATTTTGTGCCAGTCAGCAAGAATGCATTTGAGGGGGTGCAGTACTTATGTTGAGTTGACCTTTAATTGCATGCACTGTGATCTTACAAATAGTTGATACTAAAATCAAATTCTGTTGATCAAACTTACTTTTTTGAGTTTAACTGTCTGATTATGTACATATTAGTGCAGTATGTTCAGAGGCCAGAGGACTCAAACCCTGGAGCTACAGGCAGTTGTGAGCTGGCTATACACTCTTTAACTGCTAAGCCATCTCTCTAGCCCCCAGAACTTTTTTTTTTTTTTTTTTTTTTTTTTTTTGAGACAAGGTTTTATTATGTGACCTAAGTTGACTTCTAATTCAGTCTTAGGCCTCAACTTCCCATGCCTTGTGTGGGATTGCAGGCATGAACCAACCATACCAGGGTTGATAGAATTGAAGCCTATTTTTTGCGGGAAGCCATAGTTACAGATTTGAATTTTTCTTAGTTGCAGTGCTTAGGGAAAGGGGAAGTACTTAACAAGATGCAAAGGGAAGAGAAAAAGAGAAACAGTTGGGTTTTTAGTGAATATATTTTTGGGGCCAGGTTGGTTTTTTTTTTTTTTTTTTTTTTTTGGTTTTTTTTAAACGTCTTTTTGAAACAGGGTCTTCCTGTAGCTCCATCTGGCCTGGAACTATGTAGACCGGGCTGCCCTTGAATTTAGAGATCCACCTGCCTCTGTATCTCAAGTGCTGGGAGTAAAGGCTCCATGACGCCCACCCTCCCTTTGGATTCTTTACCAAAAAAGTTCCAGGACTGGATAATTTTACCAGTAAATTTAACAGTTAAGAACCTGGCACCAGCCAGGTGTGGTGGCGCATGCCTTTAATCCCAGGCACAGAACTGTTGAGTTCAAGACCAGCCTGGTCTACATAGTGAGTTCCAGGCCAGCTGGGGCTGCAGGGAGACCCTGTCTCAAAAGGAGCTGGAGAGATGGCTCAGCTAGCAGTTAAGAACACTGGCTGTTCTTGAAGAAGACTGGGATTCTAAACCCAGCACCCACATGGCAGCTAACAACTGTCTGTAACTCCAGTTCCAGGGGATCTGATGGCCTCTTCTGTCCTCCTTGGGCATTGCACAATGTGGGTATACTTACCTACATGCAGGCAACACACACACACACACACACACACACACACACACACGCACACACGCATTAAAAAAGAGAATCCAAAGGGAAAATATAATGTCATAATATGTCCTATCAGCTTCAGTCTTAGCATTTGTTGAGTTCTGGAGCTACAGTAAAAAGGATGAGAAATGAGACTTTTCCACCACCAGTAACTTTGGCATGGTGCATGGTGGCCTTTAATCCAGCAGAGGCAGGCAGATCTGAGTTCAAGGCCAGCCTGGTTTACATAGTGAGTTCCATCCAGGACAACTGGGGCTACAGGGAGACCCTGTCTCAAAAAAGACCAAAAAAAAAAAAAAAATTAAAACTAGGCCAAAGAGGGACTGGAGAGATGACTGCCCAGTTAACAGCACTGTTCTCTTGCAGAGGACCCAGGTTCAGTTCCCAGCACCCATGTGGAGGAAGAAATAGAGTTACAAGGGTTAGGTGGTTTGGGCAGTGCTGGGGCTTGAACTCTGCCTTGTACATGCTTGACTTGGAATTGCCTCCCCTGGACTGGCCTGGGCAGGTCATTCTGTATTGTATAAGAAAGTAGGCTGGGCATGAACCAAGTGGAACAAGCCACCAGTAAGCAGTATAACTCCATGGCCTGTGCTCCAGCTCCTGGCTCTAGGTTCCTGCCCTGAGTTCCTACCTTGGACTCCCTGATAAACTATGACTTGGGGAATGTAAGCCAAATAAACCTTTCCTCCCCAAGTTGGTACTGATCAGAGTGCTTTGTCATAGCAATTGAAGGCAGACTAGAGCACATGGCAAAGGTAAAGGTCCCTTTGAAAGGAAAAAAAAGCATCTTTCAAATAAAATGAGTTATATTTAAACTGATGACTTAATGGACTTTTTAAAAACTCCTGTTTTTAGAAATAGTACTTCTTAGCTGGGCGTGGTGGCGCACCCCTTTAATCCCAGCACTGGGAGGCAGAAGCAGGCCGATCTCTCTGAGTTCCAGGACAGCTGGGGCTACAGGGAAATCCTGTCTCAAAAAGATCCAAAAAAAAAAAAAGGAATAGTACTTCTTGAATGAATTTGAGACTAATACGCAAATTATTTCAGCTGAGATCTGTGTCTGTGGACCTGAATGTTGATCCCTCGCTTCAGATTGACATACCTGATGCACTCAGTGAGAGAGATAAGGTCAAATTCACAGTGCACACCAAGGTAAGTGACAGAATGGCCTTCATAATACAGGTAATCCTAGATTGCTTTTTCAGGCAAATGTGGAAAGAAATTCCTTGACTAAAACAGTTGGTGTTGTGGGTGGTGTCACAAACTGCTGAGAGCTTTGCTCATTTTAAAGTGTATGAGATTGTGGGTTTGTACAGAAGAGGGCATCAGATCTTCTGGAGCTGACTGGCAGGTGTTTGTGAGCTACCTATCATGGGTACGGGATAATCCTAGATTGCTTTTTCAGGCAAATGTGGAAAGAAATTCCTTGACTAAAACAGTTGGTGTTGTGGGTGGTGTCACAAACTGCTGAGAGCTTTGCTCATTTTAAAGTGTATGAGATTGTGGGTTTGTACAGAAGAGGGCATCAGATCTTCTGGAGCTGACTGGCAGGTGTTTGTGAGCTACCTATCATGGGTACGGGAATCAAACTCTATAAGAGCAATGTAGATTTTGGGGGGGGGGGGCGTCTTTTAGAGACAGGGTCTCCCTGTAGACCAGGCTGGCCTGGAACCCATAGAGATCCACCTGCCTCTGCCTCCTGTGTGCTGGGATTAAAGGTATGTACCACTATGCCCAGCTCAATATAGATTCTTAAATGCCGAAGCTTTATGGCACCTGCCTTTGGTTTTCAACTACACCTGGATGGAGGCACTGCATGTAGCTTGCTTTTCCATATTGAGTAAGTTTGGGAAGCCCTCTCCTGGTAGCCTGATTAGTATGCCTTACTGAGAGAAGCATGAAAACACAATATGATTGATTCTCTAATCGGATAAAAGTATAATAGATGAAATTAACTCCCTGGTATGAAAAGAAATCCAAAGACAATGTCCAGAGAAAAGTAGTAGGCTGTAGCTAATGGTTGACGTGATTTTCTGTTTCTTTTTTTAAACTGGGGAGGTTCAAACACTTGCTAACTGTCTTGGACTTGGTTTTGTTTTGAGAAAGGGTCTCATCATATAGGCCAGAATGGCCTCCTGAGTGCTGGGATTAAAGGTGTGCATCATCACGCCTGGATAGAAGTTAACTTTTGCTACATTAGTCTTGGCTGTTTCATGGCAAGCTTCAGAAGGTTTTGGGGAAAGAATTCTTTCAGAGATGAGGCTGAATCTTAGCTTTCTAGCTTAGCTTAGTGGTTATAGATCATGTTTTACTGCTTTGTTATTTATCAGGTCTTACTCTGATGTATTATGTAGTGTTCAGGTAGTGCAGCCTAGGAAATGTAAACCACTTTATCAGATGGTAGTTTACCACTGAACTTCTTTCTTTACAGACTACACTGCCCGTGTTTCAGAGCCCAGAGTTTTCTGTTACAAGACAGCATGAAGACTTCGTGTGGCTGCATGACACTCTCACTGAAACTACAGACTATGCTGGGCTTATTGTGAGTTCATTTTAGAAAATTCAAAGAATTAAGCTATTTCCTCATAGCCTTGCATTTGTTTAAAGAGTTCACCCACTTTATAGTGAAAAGTCTGATTTCAAATCTGCCTATTCATTTACTGTTGAAGTATGTGAAAAATAGTGTTGCACCCAGAAGATAACAATAGTACAGACAGGTCTGTGCTGTGTCAATTAGAAGGGAAAATTTAAAGATTGAAGTCTTACCTTTAGGTGTGGTTTTTCCTGTCTCTTTCAGGCATCAGTGGAGTTGATTTCTAGAAAATTTCAATATTGTGGCATGTAGTAAAAGTTGTCAGTGGTGCTGAAAGTAAGGAGGCAAGTGTCAGCTCTTAACTGTGGAATGGGAACTTGGGCTTTTAGATGAGAATTATTAGGCATTCTGTCTATGTGGCTGACTGAAGAATTTTCCCAGTTGTGATTTCTTTAAAGTATTCAGGAATGTCCTGTTCCATAAAAATTAGCATTACTTGTTTTTGTGGTGCTCCAGGGTTCAGAACACTCTAGGTAGGTAGGTACTCTGTCACTGTACTGAGTTACGTCTCCTGCCTCCAAATGGGTGTGTTTTTTTTTTTAACTTTTAAAAAAATTTTATTTTTTTTACATTTTATGTGTATGCGTGTATTGCCTGCATGTAGGTAAGTGCACCTGTATCATGCAATGCCTGCAGAGGTCAGAAGAGACTGTCAGTTCCCCTAGGACTGGAGTTACAGACAGCTGCTATGTGGGTGCTGGGATTTGAACCTGGGTCTTCTGTAAACCGGTGTTCTTAAACGCTGAGCCATCTCTCCAGTCCCCAAATGGATGTTTTTGAATTGGGGGAAATTCCGTTTTGACATCTGGAAGCTTATTTTTAGGATTAGTCATTTACTAGCATTGATTGTACTAGTTTTAACCTGATTGTGACATAGCGTATGTGCACTATGGTGGTTTGCCAGTGTCTTAAACTGAAAAATGACTACAGTCAAATTCTCTGCTGAGGGTAGGGTATTTTATGTGTATTAGTGTATTGCCTTTGAATAATGTATGTTGTGCAATGCCTGTGGAGGTCTGAACAGGGCATCAGATCCTGTGGAACTCAAGTTATGGACAGTTAGTCACTATGTGGGTGCTTGTAATCGACCCAGGTACTAAGCAAGAGCAGCCAGTTCTCCTGATGATCCTTCTCCCAGCCCCTGGGTAATTCCTTTTAAGGAGGTCAGGAGGATTACATTTGGCTGAAATGGGAGCTGACCTTTAGATAGCTCTATTGTGGTGGCCATGTGCATTGGATAAACTGGATGAGATGCCAGCGAGATACTCACAGATTACCTGCCTCTGCTGCAGATCCCTCCTGCTCCTACAAAGCCAGACTTCGATGGCCCTAGGGAGAAGATGCAGAAACTAGGAGAAGGGGAGGGCTCGATGACAAAAGAAGAGTTTGCCAAAATGAAGCAAGAACTGGAAGCGTAAGTGTTTTCTTGGGATTTGTCTTTAGAGATGTCTAGAAGAGTAAGTGGAAAGACTGCAGCTGTAGTCCCAGAGGCAGGTAAATCTGAGTTCAAGGCCAGCCTGGTCTACATAGCAAATTCCAGGCCAGCTGGGGCTACAGGGAGACCCTGTTTCAAAAACAACAACAACAAAAGAATGGAGCTATAGCCAGGGGTGTAATCTTAGCACTTTACCCTGGCTCAGAAGCACTTTGCCCCCCTTGCCTTGAATGTTAGAATTCAAGTGTGAACTCTCAGTTGTCTTGCCTGCCCCAGCAGTAGTGTTTTCATCCCTTCAGAATGAAAGGATTTTCATTCCAAGAAAGAAATAGCTTGCTGTTGCTCAGTTGTAGCAGTAATTATATACAGGTTTGGGGGCCTGTTCAGACTTGATAGAGCAAATCTAATTACAGCATCACTTTTCTTTCATTGAGTCATTTCAGAATGGTAACTGCCTTATTTAGCTGCTGCTGTTGAACATCAGCAGTGTTTTGATCCAGTTGCAGTGATCCTGAGTGGCTTGAGCACAGAACAGTGGAGTTGACTAGGAGCAGTATTGGGCAATAATTGAGGGATACAAACCGAATTCTCGCACATGTCTTTTCAGGGAGTATCTAGCTGTCTTTAAGAAGACTGTGTCCTCCCATGAAGTCTTTCTTCAGCGACTTTCTTCTCACCCTGTTCTCAGTAAAGATCGAAACTTCCATGTTTTTCTGGAGTATGATCAGGATGTAAGGCAATTTTTTTCACATTCTGTAGTCCTTTATACTTCTAAAATGTTTTAAAACTGAATTTATCAATACAGAAGAAAGTAGAAACATAGTGTTGTTTTCCCCTTAAATCCATTGTGAACATTTTTCTTTTCTTTAGAAAAACTGCTGTCCTAGTTTGTTCTTCATTGTTGTGACAAAATACTCTTGACTACTACCAACCTGGGGAGGAAAGGGTTTATTTAGCTTATATATCTCAGGTCACAGTTCATCCTGGCAGGAACCTGGATGGAGGCAGGAGCTGGAGAACAGGCCATGGAGGAATGTTGCTTACTGGCTTGCTCCCCTGGCCTCTGCTCAGCCTGCTTTCTTATGCAACACAGGCCCACCTGCCCAGGGGTGGCACCACCCCGAGTGGGCGTTGCCCTCCCACATCACTCATCAAGAAGGTACCCCTCAGACATGGCCACAGGCCAGTCCAATAGAGGAAATTCCCCAGTTGAGGCTCCCTCAATCCATGTGTGTCAAGCTATCCAGCACACCTGCTGAATGAAACATTGACCTCTACCTTAGAATAACTTTTTCCCTATGTTTAGTATTATTAGAAGGAATTTAAATTGATGTTACTTTGTGGGTATCTTTTTGTTCCAAGGGAACTTTATTTTATGTGTATGTATGTCTGCTTATAAGTGCATCTGTGTCATGCAGTTCCACAGAGGGCATTGGATCCCCTGGAACTGGAGTTACAGATGGTGTGTATGCTGGGTCTTCTGCAAGAGTAGCCAGTGCTCTTAACCTGAGCCATCTCTCCAGCCCCTTATGTTTTTTTAATGTTTCTTCATATATATGAAACAAGCCTTTACTTGGAAATTTCTTGTGTCTTCAAATCTTTGAGGACTAATAGATGTGTCAGTAGAACCAAACAGTAGTTCTACCAAGAACTGAAGAGTTTCACTGGATGTGGTGGTGCATGCATGCCTCTAACCCTAGCAGAGGAAGGTGAGGCCAACGATCTACGTAGTGAGTTCAGGCCATCTGGGGCTACAGGGAAACCCTGTATCAAAAAATAAAAAGGATTGAGGAGTTTCCATTTCCAAACTTGGTGTCTGCACCAGGATGTATTAGGTTAGCCTTTTAGAATTATTTATGTTTAGACACTTAATTTTTGATGTTGTAGATTGAGTGATTTAAGGAAGAATTAAAGATTATTTTACGTGTTAAAACCTGTGGTAATAAAAAGCAAACATATGTACTATACCATAAACTGTTCTTTCTGCATTTTCTTTTAGCTAAGTGTTAGGCGGAAAAATACAAAAGAGATGTTTGGTGGCTTTTTTAAAAGCATGGTGAAGAGCGCCGATGAAGTCCTGTTTTCTGGAGTTAAGGTAAGGAACTTTTGGCTGTTTAGGAAATTCTCTTATTTTTTAGTTTTATTGTATTTCTGTGTATGAGTGCATTGCCTGCATGCACATATGTTTACATCATACAGTGCCCATGGAGGTCACAAGAGGGTGTCAGATCCCCCTGGGACTGTTCACTTCCATGTGGGTGCTGGGAACTGAACCAGGGTCCTCTACCAGAGCTGAGGCATCTCTCCAGCCCCTGTTTGGGAAATTCTTGAGAGTGAACTTTTACTTTCCCAGAATACCCTGTTCTCTATCTGGAGAAAGAGATGACTTGGACTTTTCCACACTTGAATATTTTTTTATTTCTTTCCTTATCTTCTTCCTCTTCCTTGTTGGCGTTTTTGAGACAGGATCTCCCTGTAGCCCCAACTGGCCTAGAACTCAGAGAGATCCACCTATCTCTGCTTCCCTAGTGTTGGGATTATAGATGTGTGCCACCAAGCCCGGCGAATCCTTATTTTTTTCATTTTTTAGAAAGGATATAGATTTCTCAGTTGTGAAAAGAAACTAAGATAGCAGAGCATCGTGTCGTAGGCTGTGGACCTAATATTCAGGAGGTGGAAGCTCTCCAGTTTGAGGCCAGCCTGTGTGACATAGCAAGACCCTGTCTGGAACAAGGATTAGGTAGGGATATAGGTCTATATTGCTTGCCTAGTGTATACAAGCTTCTGATCAATTCTGGCTCCAGCGAATGTGTGATGGCTACCAGCCACAGGGACAGATGAGTAACATGGAGCTTAGGTCCAAATAAGCAACTAGGCCAGCTGGAGCTACAGGGAGACCTTGTTTCAAAAAGACACCCCCCCCCTCCCAAAAGGGGAAAGTTGTTGTAGGCACTGTCAGAATTCTGTACTATTTGCAGATCATACCTAAGAAACACTTTTTTTTTATGTCTTTTTGAGACAAGGTCTCTCTGTAGTCCCAGCTGGCCTTGAACTTACAGAGATTCACCTGCCTCTGCCTACTGAGTACTGGGATTAAAGGGGTGTGCCACCATGCCCAGCTCATGTTTTATTTATATGCTGGATTTTATGTACCTAGTACAAAGAAAAGGAATTAAGTGTTTCACTACTGTTTTGGGGTGAAATGATCATCTCCTGCCTTTCTTATTTTGCTTTTTTTTCTTTGGCCTTTTTGAGACAGCGTCTCCTTGTAGCCCCAGCTGTCCTGGAACTTACCATGTAGACCAGGCTGGCCTTGAACTCACACCACGCCTGGCTGGTTTTGTTAATTTTATCTGATTATTTATTTGAGGAGTGCAGTGCTATTTTAGAAGATAATAGAAGAAAGTCTCATTACTTTCCGAAGTGGCTTATTTCTTCACTTAGGCTTTTCCCCCTTCCTTTATAAATAAATGACTTTGTTGGCTATCTGGTATTTAGCTTTGCCGTCCAAGGCTTGATGAAGGAGCCTGGAATACAGGTGCATGGAAAAGGGCAATGTCAGAGTTTCTCATAGGCAAACAGTATGGACTGTTTTGTGTCTGTGCGTTGTAGGTTGTTTGCCATTCCTGACAAGTACCATGATTGCATGTCATTCTAAAAACAATATGTGCACATAAAAACCTATCCATATACATGCAGATGCTGGTGTTCGAAGCTAGGTGGTGGTGTCCCATCTAATAGAAGCACTACATGAGTAGAATTATTGGATCTTAGGATATCACACTTACTGGTCATTCAAAGTGCTCTTCAATTGATTGTTGATGTAGCCTGCCATTACAATGTTGGATATTATGGAGTATCATAAAAATGTAATCCCCTAACCTATACAGGTTAAACTTGTTGAAAACCATTTTGTTTGCTTTTGAGGTAGGTTCTTAATATGTAGCCCAAACTTCTTGTTTAATAATAATCCCATTTTAGTCTCGGGTGCTGGGATTACTCAATGGCTTTCTCTCTGAGAGTCTGTAATACTATATAAATTCATGTCTGTTGGCACTAAATTTTTTTCCCTTTTCTCTTCTTGGGAGGTTTGCATGCTCGCCCTCTGAGGCCCCCAAGGCTTTTTTAGTTTTGGTTTTGTACCGTTTTTTGACTTGGGAGGGAGTGACTTACAAGGAAACAGCTTCTCTGGACGTTAGCATTCATGCGCTGCGTCCACAGGATGCTGCAGTTGACCCCAGCCAACCCCACACATGCTTTTCTCCATCCCAGTCTCTAACTCTTCATCTCCTGGGCAGCTCCACCTCTCTTCCCAGGGTGCTCCTCATCTTGCCCCTGGCTGGCTTACACCTTTCATTCAGAGGAATGAGTAATTTTCGGGCTACAATGTCTTTGGAATATTTCTGCTTAAGTTCCTTTTTCCTACTTTTTTAGGAGGTGGATGACTTCTTTGAGCAAGAGAAGAACTTCCTTATTAACTATTACAACAGGATCAAGGATTCCTGTGCCAAAGCTGACAAGATGACCAGATCTCATAAAAGTAAATACCATTTACTGACTTGACATTTGCAGCTTTGCTGTGTTTCTGTTCCGCTCAAATAACAAGGGCTGCACTTTGTTTCTCCAGATGTTGCTGATGACTATATCCACACCGCAGCCTGTTTGCATAGCTTGGCCTTAGAAGAACCCACAGTCATCAAAAAGTAAGTTTTAGAGTGCTGGGCGTGGTGGCACACATCTTTAATCCCAGCACTTGGGAGGCAGAGGTAGGCAGTTCTCTGTGAGTTCAAGGCCACCCTGGTCTACATAGCGAGTTCCAGGCCAGCTGGGGCTACAGGGAGACCCTGTCTCAAAAAAGACCAAAAAAAAGAAGGTAAGTTTTAGGTGACTGAGGATGTAACTCAGGCAGGATGCTTGCCTAATTTGTGCAGGGCTCTGTTCAGTTTCCACACTCCTCCCTCCAAGTAAGTTTTTCTTGGAAAAGCACTTTCTTACTCTTCTAATTAGAGTACTGTGAGGTATAATCAAAAGAAGTTTGAGGGCTAGGGAGTGCTTACCTGGCATGTAGAAAGTCTTGAATATGATACCTGGCATGGTTGGTGGATCATGCCTTTTGTCCCAGCACTCAGGACATTAAACGAAGACAGCAAGTTTGAGGCAAGTCTGGGCTACATAAGACTTTGTCTCAAAAGATAAAAGTAATAAATTCTGGAGTATTTGATCTACATTTTTAGTTCTGTCCTTGAGCACAAGCTTATGTTTTAAGTGCCCTCTGTCTCCAGATGCTCTGTGGTTATTTTTGAGGGATTTGCTTGGTTCTTTGTATTTATTTTATTTTATATATATATAAGTTTTGCCTGCATGCAGGGAACTGTACCCTTACATGAGTGCCTTTAGAGGCCAGAAGAGGGCTCTGACCCCTAGGGCTGGAGTTACACAGACAGTAGTCAGCTACCATGTGGGTGCTGGAAACTGAACCTGGGTCTTCTACAAGAATAACCTGTGCTCTTAACCGCTGAGCCATCCTCCAACCTCTCTACTTGGTTCTTCATGTTTTTGTCTGGTGATGCTCTGTACTTTGTGGAAGAGAATTGGTTGTCTGCTGTTTAGATCAATTAGGATTAAAGTATTATTTGGTAAATTAACCTTAGGATTCCTGAGTGTAGTCACACATTCATGTCTTAGAGTATTGATGATTCTATATCAGAAGTAAGACCTTGCATATATTTTCAGGTACCTGTTGAAGGTTGCAGAGCTGTTTGAAAAACTTCGGGTAAGGATTTGTGTGTTTGGTCTTGGTAATATATATTAAGATATGTAGAATATTATTTGGTAAATTAACCTTAGGATTCCTGAGTGTAGTCACACATTCATGTCTTAGAGTATTGATGATTCTATATCAGAAGTAAGACCTTGCATATATTTTCAGGTACCTGTTGAAGGTTGCAGAGCTGTTTGAAAAACTTCGGGTA